CCAAAATTCTCAACTGCATTTTTTAGATTCCCTTCTTCCGACAAATAACAAGTAACAAAGCAGTGGTGACAAGTTACAGCGCACCAATAACCAATGAATTGATTTGTTAGTCAACTTATTACCATTTTATGTTTGTTAGCACTGTAAGGATTTTTTTACCACCTTCCCTGTTCCCTCACCTCTTTGATTTTTGACTCCCTCGCATTACTGCCTCGTGTGCACTAATTATTTAGCAAAGTGACTTGTGCTTTGACCCGTATACCTGATCTTCCAATCTTATTCCTTTTTTCTTTTCTATGATTTGAATCCAAGCCTACTTCTATGTAAGTCCTTGTGTTAAAGAGCTCTGAATACAAATTATCTTTCGGTGCTTATTTTATTTACTCGTCTATAAGAAGTCGTGGCAATTGAATCAATATCATTGTCGAAGTGTTCTCTAACTTTTCTCGAATGATTATGTTATGATGCTCAAACTATGCAATTTATGCTACTTTAGTGGTAGTTAGAACGTAAGAGTCTTCTAGCTAAGCGCAAAAGCCTTCCGTTTGGAAAGCCAGCTCCCAGAGATTGCTTTGAGTAAAGTATTGAATAACACTCTGGTTTGGAGACTCATGGGACCTAATTATCTATTCATTCGAATGTCAATGAGCAAATGAACACATTATCAGAGAGTAATGTTACGGCCTTCTTATCTTTTGAATCCAACCTATAGCAACATCTAATACTAAAGTGGTTTTATTAATTTATTTACATTTTGCCAAGTAAATAACTGAATTTCTCACAAAGTAAAGTTTCATTTTTAATCCCATCAACGCATTATCTTCTGGTAGGGTGAAGATGAAAACATTAGAAAAGAGCTAAAATGTCCGTATCATTCAGATTAAGAGATATTTCCCGTCTGAGTTCTGCACTGTTGGTTGCGGTGAACTTTGAGATGTTCGCATCTTAGGCACACAGCTGGGACGGGCGCAAAAGGACACTTAAACCTATAAATCTTGAGTATATTATGGAGAGGATGCTCGGCGTATAACTTCGGAAGTTAGTACACAATGGAAATGGTCAATTTTTTGAAGCGAAGGAGAAGATTATTCGTTTTTGTAAACAGGCTGCAGAAAAAATACTTACGTATTTATATTTATTATATTATTAATACATAAGATGGGCTATAAACAGAAAAGTGGACCCAACAAATAAGCAAGAGAGCATTTGATAATCAAAAAATAAAATAAATAGAAATTGTTTAGTTCGATTTTATTGTTCATGGCTAAATGTTATAAGGAATATTCTGCAATTGGGCCGCAATGACAACATTTACGGAAGCGAGAATAAATTATAATATTTAAATTTTATAGCAGAAAATTCTAATTTTAGTTCTTTTTCTAAATTTATGTTTTTGACTCACACGTTGGCAAAAAAGCAATATCTGATCGTATTCCCACGACAATTAAACCCTTTCGACTACAGCTAACATTTTATTGACAGCTTTCTACGGCTTCCCCTTTAATTGGCTTCCGTCCTGCTTGCTTAATCCGCTGAACAAAGTATTTATATAGAACCTCAACTTTAGACATTACCTCTTTCTGCTTCGTAAGCAATGTCCCCTTTTTTTCTTGCATTTTTTTGCCCTTTCGCATCTCTAATGTCAGCAATTGTGGCGACCTGGGAGATAATACAATATTTTTTTTTCATCGCTTAGGGCAATAGTATGTTCTAGTCTGAGTCGAGAAGTTTCTCCATCGTTGAATCGACGTCAGATTGTAGACTCTTGAGTTTTTGACATTTCTGAGTTCCACGTCATGTACTCTATAGCTTGTCGGTCATATTTGACACCATTTCGCGCAAAAATCAGCTATTGCTCATCCCCAGACTTATAGAGTTTA